GAAGTGGTGAGGGGCTGGGGGCAGGTGGACCTGCTGGTAGCAGGGTGGGAGTGCCAGGCCGTCTCAAGAGCAGGGAAGGGAAAGGGGTTAGAGGATCCAAGGGGAGCACTGCTCATCAATTTGCTGAGCATCATAGACTGGATCAAGGAAAGACAGGAGAAGGTGGTGTACCTGCTGGAGCACATAGATCTAGAGGGAGACTGCCGGGAACCAGTCAGAAAAATCCAAGAGTTAGTGACAAGGAAGCTGGGAAAGGGCGTGAGGTGTGATGCGGCCAGGCTGGGGGCACGGGCTCACCGTGTCAGAAGGTATTGGCAAAATGTCGTGACGGACGAACAACTGCAGAGGGAGCTGGATGGGATACGAAGGGACTGGAGCAGGACGGTGCAAGAGATATTAGAGCCAGGCAGGACAGCGGCGCCGGTAAGGAAAGGCAGGCACGAGACACAGTGCCCATGCAACAAGGTGGGGGCAGTACGCAGGGCTTGGCCGACACTGGTGGGGTACAAGGGGGCAGCCGGGTTCAGGGAGGAAGGAGGAGTGCCAGGAGAAGGCATGGTGTACGATCATAAGACAAAGCAGTGGGAGGAACCAACGGCACTGGAGCGGGAGCTGGCAATGGGGTATGGGGAAGACATAACGAAGGCAGCAGGGGTGACAGAACAGGAAAGGAGGAAGGAAGGAAGTACTATGCAGGGCGGAAAGGGGGAGAAAGGGACTGAGAACAGTAAGGCAGGAATAAGGGGAGCAGGCAATACAGGGGCAAGTAGCAGGTGAAAGGCAGGAAGGGAAGGGACGCCGACAACTCCATCGACCAGTGCTACAAGCGTCAGGCTGCTGATGAACGGCGCAACGCCTCCAACCAGCAACCCTCAGCTCAATCCAAGCCTGCTGCCACAACCTCCACTGTGTCGCCTCCCTCGGTCGCCAGTACTTCTCAGTCCCCTGCGGTCATTTCGGCAAAGGACAAAGGGAAAGGGACGGTCATAAGCTGCATGGCTCGCCGCAGCAGAGGGTTCCGCTACTGGGATCGAGGTCGAATTTCATTCCCTTCCGACAACCCCACCCCCGTTGCGCCCAGCTCAGATAACGACCCAACGGTTTCTACCTGGTCGACTCGCCCTTCAGACATCCCTCCTGACTTCGAGCTTCCTCCTCCTACTCCGGAATCGCCGCCGAGCATTCCCGCAAGTAGATATTTCGCTCTCTCGCCGTACACCGGCGACTTCGATCGCATCATTACGCCCAAGATCGCCAACCTTGCCCGCCAGCGCCACGAAGATCTGAACACCTGGTACCTCGACAGCAACACATGGTGGGATCATCAAAGTTCATCAGCAACTCTCGGCGCATGCGACGACCCTGCGAAATCACCGCAGCCAACAACGGAAAAATGAAGGCACATGAGATTGGGGAGATCTACCTCGAGGCGAATGACACGAAATTTACCATTCACATCGGAGACGTCCTCGTCGCGCCAGATCTCCAATACAACCTGCTCTCGTCAGCTCAACTCATGCGATGCGGAATCGACATTCGCAGCAACCGCAAAGAGAAGACCTTCGAGCTCTTTTATGATGACTCTTACATCGGAAAGGCGATCGACGACGACGGAGTCTTCGTGCTGCAGTTCTCGGCTCAGGGCACAACCGGCGATTCCCACCGCACGCTGCTCCTAAAAACGACTCCCACGGAGGCGCCAACGTGGTCACATCCCGACGAGATGGACCTCGAGCGACCCGCCTCTGACGGCCTTCTGCGCTTGCGCACTGTCCCGACCGCCTCGACCTCGAATCCTGCTGAGACCGGACCTGCCACAATGGAGGAAGACAGTGGCACGTCAGGCCCTGCAACACAACCTGCCGAGGAAAACACGCCGGCGGAAACGCGCTGGACAGGCTGGGATACTTCCGGACCCACACTTGGATCTTGGGGCGAAGTCCTGACTCCAGAGGAAGCGGCCACAAGCGGATGGGGTGCCGTCGCAACGAAAGAAATTGCTGCAACTGGCCGGGGAACTCCCCCTACCCCAGCCGAGGAAGGTGGCACTGGCTGGACTCCTCCTGCCCCATCTGGGGAAGTTGGCGCAGAAGTCAAAGACACAGCAGTCGGAGAAGCAAGGACGATCGGAGACACGTGGGGCGCCGGGGGAGGCTGGGGCGCTTCGGGCGAAGCGGAACAAGGGCACGCCGTAGCAGCCGGCCTTCCTCCCGCGGAAGTCGCCATCGTCGACCCGTACTGGGCAACTCGCGGCACCTGCTGGGGAGGTCCTCCCCTTCCGGAACAGTACGCCCCTGACACACCCGAACCAATGCCAGAAGAGTCAGAGGAAGAAGAGACCTACGAATTCATGGGGGGACCAGCGGAATTACCTGAACCTACCGAGGAGCCAGAGCCGCCGGTACAAGGACCCCAAGAAATTGAAGTCATTGGTGCTGAATACAGTTACTACAGGATCCCCATGTCGGGACTCCCCGCTCGGGACTGGCCCGATCGATGCCTACTTGTCACCGGAGACCAAGCCGAAGCTGGCGATACCGACGACATCATCGGTATTCCCCGCGCGCTTCTGGAGAGAAAGGCTCGCGCACTCGCCGCCGAAACGGACAACGCCGCTGACACAGGACCTGAAGGGGAGGCAAACGACGAGGCAGCACGGCAAAAATATTATCAGAAGACAGTCGGCTACCGTGCGGACCCAGCAACATGGCACCAACGGCTTGGACATCCCTCTCACGCCACGCTCAAAAACTCGCTCAAGGCTGGAGTCTTCGATGACGACGCACTTCTCCTCCCCCGAGACGGTTCCCTCACCGCGGACTCTCCCAATCCGCCGTGCATCGTCTGCCCGACTGCATCCCTCAACCACCAACCATTCCCAGACTTACCACCAGGGTACGAGCGCTACAAACCGCTGGATAAGGTCTACAGCGACTTCATGGTACTCAGTCAACAAGGGCTTAACGGGGAGCAATACACGCTTACCTTCATCGACGCCTCCACGCGCTACGTCTGGGCCATCAATACCGATTGCAGATCACTGGCCTTTGAATGCTTCATTGCGTGGATGAAGCGGGCTGAGCGACAGTCTGGGCTAAAGCTAAAGGCCTGGCAGACAGACGGAGCCCTGGAGTTCTTCTCGGACGAGTTCAAAAAGGTCTTCACGCAGAAGGGGATCGAGCACCTGGTGTCCCTTCCCTACGCCCACCAGCAGCAAGGTGTAGCAGAACGGACAAACAGGAGCCTCGTCACTCGGATGAGGGCTCTGATGAAGCAGTCGGCCATCCCAACCAGATATTGGCCATTTGCGATGAATCACGCTGTTCGGCTGCACAACTTGCTGTCCTCGCGAAGCCTCAAGGACAACAACTCTCCTTACCGGGCTTGGACGGGCAGAAAAGCAGATACACGCCTACTTCGGGTGTTCGGGTGCATGGTACAGTACAGACCCCATACTGCGCGGACGGGAAAATTTGCTGACCGGGCACGATGGGGCATCCATCTCGGAATCGAAAAAGAATTCAAGGCGTGGATCGTACTGGACTACGCGACACACGAGGTGACAAAATCACGTGACTGCATCTTCTACGAGAAGCTGACTCTGCCCCTTTTCAAGGAGCACCAGGAAGCTGACAAACTGCTCGAGAGGCTCTTCGAGGGCCACCGCAGCTTCGCCACGTCACACGACGAAGCTGACCTGGCCGAGGATGCAGACGCACCTGATGTCACCCAGATGGACTCTGCTCCGAACATCCCCCTTACGAGCCAACTCGGAACTCCGACATTCGTGCCCGTACACCAACCCGATCCGGATGATATAACACGCGAAGCTCACAACTACAACAGCGAAACGCGCCGATCACCCACTGCCGAGTCACCACAACCCAACCTGTCGCAAGACACCCTCCGCCTCGGCAACGACAGCGATGACGACGTGGTCGAGGTTACCAGGTCCCACGACTATGTTAAATTATAATGGGTTCTATGTTGGTAGGCTGTAGTGGGGTAGCCAATATGGGGTACAACCCCAACTAGGGTTTCATATTTGTACCCAAACTTCTGCTAGTTCATTCATTCTTGCCTAGTGATTCTGACATGGTATTCAGAGCAGGAGGTCCCTAGGACCTACCGACCGTTTTTTAGGGCCCACCACCGCTCGCATGCGGTTACCACGCTACCCCGTGCCCTAGCCTCGTAGCGCCCTCGTGCGCCCTCGTTAGCGCCCTCGCGCGCCCCTCGTTAGCGCCCTCGAGCGCCCCTCGTTAGCGCCCTCGCGCGCCCCTCATTAGCGCCCTCGCGCGCCCCTTGCTAGCGCCCTCGCGCGCCCCTCGCTAGCGCCCTCGCGCGCCCCTCGCAGCGTCGCCCGTCCGCCACGCTGCCCGCTCGCCCCTCGCCCGCCGCGCTGCCTGCTCGCAGCGTCGCCCGCTCGCCCCGCTGCCCGCTTCGCAGCCCGCTCGCCCCGCTGCCCGCTTCGCAGCCCGCCCGCCCGCTCGCTGCCCGCTTCGCGGCCCGCCCGCTTCGCTGCCCGCTCGCAGCGCCGCCCGCCCGCCCGCTACCTGCTTCGCAGCGTCGCCCGCCCGCTTGCTGCCCGCTCGCAGCGTCGCCCGCCCGCCCGCTGCCCGCTTCGCAGCGTCGCCCGCTCGCTCGCTGCCCGCTCGCAGCGTCGCCCGCCCGCCCGCTGCCCGCTTGCAGCGTCGCCCGCCCGCCTCGCTGCCCGCTTGCAGCGTCGCCCGCCCGCCCGCTGCCCGCTTGCAGCGTCGCCCGCCCGCCCGCTGCCCGCTTCGCAGCCGCCCGCCGCGCTGCCCGCTCGCCGCGTCGCCCGCCCGCCCCGCTGCCCGCTTCGCAGCCCGCCCGCCGCACTTCCCGCCTGCAGCGCTGCCCGCCTCGCCTGCTGCTCCCTGCCTGTGCACCGCCGCTTGCTCCTGCTGTGGCTGCTAGCTTCGCTCTAGCGCGTCCCCTCTGCTGCTGCCGCTGCTCTGCTGTGCCCTCACGCCTGAGCTATGGCCTCTATTCGCGTTCTTTCCTTCGATGCTGAGGGCCGTCCCGTGCAGTTCACTTCCTGGCTCGACGACCTGCAGTTGTATCTTATGAGCAATAGCACGGACCACATCTCCCTCTATGACTACGCGTCTGGTGCTGCCGCTGCTCCTGCTGCCACAGCCGAGCTTAGTGTACGTTCACAGTGGCAGACTCGTGACGCTGCAGCTCGCCTGGCTATTCGCAGTCACCTGCCGTTACCTGAGCTAGAGCACTTTGGCGACTGCAAAACCGCTAAAGCCCTATATGACGCTGTCGTCGCTCGCTACTCCTCACCTGCCACAGCCGAGCTTAGCCGTCTCATGCTGCCTTACCTGTTCCCTGAGCTGTCCGCCTTTGCTACAGTCGCCGATCTTATCACCCACCTTCGCACTAGTGATGCTCGCCTGCGTGCCGCCCTTCCCACCGAGTTCTGCGCTAAGAACCCCCCTCCCCTGTACTGGGCACTCCACTTCATAGTCACCCGTCTCCCTGACACCCTCAGCTCAGTGCGCGACTATTTCCTTGCTCGCTGTCCCACTGAGCTCACTGTCGCCCTCCTAGAGGAGAAGCTGCTAGCAGCCGAGAAGAGCATTGTAGCTGTAGGTGCTGCTCGCGGCGCTCCTCGCACCCCCATCTTTGAGGGGTGTTCTCCCTCTCCCCTCGCTCCCTCCTACGCTACTGCTGCTGCTGTTGACTTCCTTGGTGCTGAGTCTGCTGGCGCTGCTTCTGCTCCTGGTGGGAGGCGCCGCACCGGCAAGGGCAAGGGGGGCAAGGGTGGCGGGGGTGGCGCTGGGGGGGGAGGGGGTGGGGGAGGTGGGGGGGGAGGCGGTGCTGGAGGGAGCGGTGGCGGGAGTGCCGGTGGGAGTGGGGCCGGCGGCGGAGGCGGGGGCGGCGGCGGGAGCAGTGGCGGTGGTGGCAGCGGCGGCAGTGGCGGCGGTGGCGGTAGTGGCGGTGGCGGTGGCGGTGGTGGCGGTCGGAGCGGAGGTAGTGGCGGCGGTGGAGGTCGGAGTGGATGCACCAGCTCGGGCCAGAGCTCCCAGCAGCAGCAGCGTCCCCAGTCGACCCAGCAGCTTCGTGAGTGGCTTGCTCAGCGTGGGACGTCGGGGGGCAGTGGCCGCTGTTCCTATGTCATTCGCACAGGTGACCGCAAGGGACAGACGTGTGGGAGGTTTCACACCCCGTACCGCTGCTTCTTCCGCCTTGACGACGCTTGGCGTGAGGAGATGGGCGAGGATGTTGAGCGCCCTCGCTGGGCTGAGCTGATGAGGGCTGGGGTTGATATCTTTGCTCTTGACTATGATGCTATTATTGCTGCCATGTATGCATTGACTGTTAGTGCCGAGGGAGACTGTTACTTGTGTGTGCCGCCTGACCCAGGTATAGGGCCCGCTGCCCTAGGTACTAGTGAGTCTGCTCTCTCTGGTATGGTGCCCCCTGTACCTGCTCCCTCCAGCACTGTCCCTACTGCTTGCGAGTCTGCTCTCTCAGGTACAGCACCCACAGAGACTGCTCTCTCAGGTACTGCACCGGCTGAGCCCTGTCACACCTTCACCCTTGACTCAGGTGCTTCCCGCTGCTTCTTTCGAGACAGTACTGAGCTCACACCGCTTCCTGCACCGGTCCCAGTCTCCTTGGCTGACCCCTCTGGGGGCCCGGTCCTTGCCCGGTCCACCACTGTGCTCCCTTGTCCGGCGGTTCCGTCTGGCTCGTTGACGGGTTTCCACCTCCCCTCGTTCTCGACGAACCTGGTGAGCAACGCTGTCATCCAGGATCAGTGGGTTGACACCTTTACCCCTGGAGGACAGCGTGTGGCGATCTGCACGTGCTCCAGGACCGGCCGTCACCTGGCTACGTTTACTCGTCGGCCGGGGTCGAGTCTCTACACACTGACCACTGCGTCTCCTCAGGTCGCTGCTGTCGGTCAGGTGTCCGCGTCAGGTCTGGTAGCCCACGCCTGTGAGTGTCGTTCCTTGTCGCACCAGACTCTTCTCTGGCACCACCGCCTGGGTCACCCCTCCTTGCCACGCCTCCGTGGCATGCACCGTCGCCACCTTGTGTCTGGTCTTCCCAGGTCCCTCCCTCCCCTCCCTGCCTCGCCTGCGCCGCCTTGCCTTCCTTGCGTCGAGGGGCGGCAGCGCGCCGCTCCTCACTCCTCCTCGTTCCCCCCGACAGAGGCTCCTCTGCAGACCCTCCACCTGGACGTGTGGGGCCCAGCCCGCGTTCGTGGTCAGGGCGGTGAGCGGTACTTTTTGCTGGTTGTCGACGACTACTCGCGTTACACCACGGTCTTCCCCTTGCGCACCAAGGGTGAGGTCCCTGCTGTTCTGATCCCTTGGATCCGCACAGTTCGTCTCCAGCTCCGCCGCCGTTTCCGGACGGATCTTCCTGTCCTGCGTCTGCACTCTGACAGAGGTGGTGAGTTTTCCTCCGACCTCTTGAGGACCTTCTGTCAGGCGGAGGGCATCGAGCAGACCTTCACGCTTCCGGACTCCCCACAGCAGAATGGGGTTGCTGAGCGCCGCATTGGCCTGGTCATGGAGGTCGCTCGTACCTCCTTGGTCCACGCGGCGGCTCCCCATTTTCTGTGGCCGTTTGCTGTCCGGTACGCCGCGCATCAGCTCAACCTCTGGCCCCGTGTCTCCTTGCCGGAGACCTCGCCCACACTGCGTTGGACGGGGGAGGTTGGCGATGCGTCGCGCTTCCGGGTGTGGGGTGCTCGTGCCCTTGTCCGCGATACGTCCGCGGACAAGCTCTCCTCCCGCACGCTTCCCTGTGTCTTCCTTGGCTTTGTCCCTGACGCGCCTGGCTGGCAGTTTTACCACCCCACCTCGCGCCGGGTCTTCGCCTCTCAGGACGTCACCTTTGACGAGTCGGTCCCCTTTTACCGTCTCTTCCCCTACCGTACTGCCCCCCTCCCTCCCCCGCCGCTTTTCCTTGCTCCTGGTCCCCCTCCGGTAGACCCCCTTCCCCCTCAGGGTCCTGCTCCTTCAGGTGTCTCTCAGGTAGACCCTCCTCCCGTCGCTGAGCCTGTCGAGGTCACAGGTGACTCAGGTGCTGCTGCGGGTGGTGCTGCTGGGAGTGCTGAGCCTGCGGGTGCTGGGCCTGGGGGTGCTGGGACTACGGGTGCTGGAGCTGAGGGTACTGTGCCTGAGAGTTCGGCGCCTGGGGGTGCTGAGCCTGGGGGTGCTGCGACTGGGGGTGCTGAGCCGGCGTGTGCGGAGTCTGGGGGTGCTGAGTCTGGAGGTGCTGCGCCTGCGGGTATTGAGCCTGGGGGTGCTGCTACTGAGCCTACGGAGCCTCGGGTTGCTGCGTCTGGGGGTGCTCCGGTTCGGGGTGCTGAGCAGTCTCTCACACCACAGCAGCTTCGTGACTGGTACGTCCGGCGCTTTCGCCGTCCTAGTGGCTCGGCTGGAGCTGGGGGTGCTGGAGCTGCCGGGACTGGTTGTTCTGGGAGCACTACGACTGGAGCTGCTGGAGCTGGGGACTCTGGAGCTGGCGGCGCTAGCGGAGTTGTAGCTGCGGACCCTGGGGGTGGTGCTGCTGCTGGTGCTGCGGACCCACCTGGTGGAGCTGCTGCTGGTGCTGGGGACCCGGACGCTGGAGTCTCTTCTGCTTCTGGAGACGCTGCGCGGCCGCGGCCGTACTTCGTACCGCTCCTTCAGCAGGTTCTTGGGCAGGCTCCTCCTCCTTGTCCTCCTCCCTCCGTAGAGTGTCCTCCGACTGTCCAGCCGCAGTCACAGTTACCGCCTGCCTCGCCTCTCCCTGCTCCCTCTCCTTACACTGGTCCCACAGGAGGTCTTACAGAGCGTCGTGAGCCTGAGTCTCGTCCTGCGTCGCCTGTCCGTACTGCTCGCACTGGTCGTCGTGTCCGTCGTGAGCGTCCTCCTCCTGTCCCAGGCACTCACTACATGACTCTGCGTCCTTCTACTGCTCCTCAGCGTGTCCCTCTGCCGTCTCCTCCTGCGTCCTCTTTGCCTGCTGTTCCGGACCCTGAGTCTGACCGGTATCGTGCTGAGCACCCTACTGTCACGCGTCTCCTAGCTACTGTTGTCACTGACCCTACCTTTGAGTCCTCGGCTGCGTCTGCTCTGGTCGCTGAGTTGGTCGACTTTGCTGCTGCCTGTCGTCTAGACTACGCTGCTCGCCTTGTTGCTGGGTCTGAGTCTGCGTCTGTCTGTCCTCCGTCCGTCGGGGGTGAGTGTGCTCTTGGCACGGACGTCCTTGAGGACAGGCAGGAGGACTTTGACTCTCTTGCGGCTGCTGTACCTCATCTCGTGGCCTGGTTGCTTGCCCCTGAGGGAGACCCGGATGCACTAGACATCCCCACTCCGCGCACTTACGCAGAGGCGATCTCGGGTCCCTACTCCTCTCAGTGGCAGACAGCCATGGACGCAGAGATGGCATCCTGGAAGTCCACAGGCACCTACGTCGACGAGGTTCCCCCTCCTGGGGCAAACATCGTCGATGGCATGTGGATTTTCAGGGTGAAGCGGCCGCCAGGTTCTCCGCCTGTCTTCAAGGCTCGTTACGTTGCTCGAGGCTTCAGTCAGCGTCAGGGGGTCGACTTCTTCCAGACCTTCTCCCCCACCCCGAAGATGACCACTCTTCGGGTTCTGCTGCACGTTGCTGCTCAGCGTGACTATGAGCTTCACTCTCTTGACTTCAGCACAGCGTTCCTGCAGGGCAGCCTGCACGAGGAGATCTGGCTGCGCCGCCCACCTGGCTTTACTGGGTCGTTTCCTCCTGGTACCCAGTGGAGCCTCCGCCGGCCAGTCTACGGTCTCCGCCAGGCGCCACGCGAGTGGCACGACACACTGAGGACTACACTTGCGGCTCTTGGGTTCGCGCCGTCTACTGCTGACCCGTCGCTGTTTCTGCGCACAGACACGTCGCTGCCGCCGTTCTACATTCTCGTGTACGTCGACGACTTGGTCTTTGCTACTGCTGACACTGAGGCACTCGCTCGTGTGAAGTCGGAGCTGCAGAAGAGACACACCTGCACTGACCTGGGTGAGCTGCGTAGCTACCTTGGCTTGCAGATCACCCGGGACAGAGCTCGCCGCACCATCACTCTGACTCAGTCACACATGGTGCAGCAGGTCCTTCAGCGCTTCGGCTTCCAGTTCTCCTCACCACAGGCCACACCTCTGGCTACCAGTCACTCGCTCTCAGCTCCACCTCCGGACGAGTCCGTAGAGTCGAGTGGCCCGTACCCAGAGCTTGTGGGCTGCCTCATGTACCTGATGACTTGCACGCGACCTGACCTCGCGTACCCTCTTAGCATCCTTGCTCGTTACGTTGCACCTGGGAGACACAGGCGAGAGCACTGGGAGGCTGCTAAGAGGGTGCTGCGCTACTTGTGCAGTACATCAGGCATGGGGCTGGTGCTTGGAGGACACGACAGAGTTGTCCTCACTGGCCACTCGGACGCTTCTTGGGTGGACGACCTGGCTACGCAGCGGTCGTCACAGGGTTACACCTTCAGCCTTGGCTCTGGTTCTGTCTCGTGGCGGTCCACCCGTTCTTCTTCTGTTCTCAGCTCTAGTTGTGAGGCTGAGATCTACGCCACGGCCATGGCTGCACAGGAGTTACGCTGGCTCACCTACCTGCTGACTGACTTGGGAGAGCGGCCTAGTTCTCCTCCAGTTCTGTACGGCGACAACAAGGCGGCCCTTGCCTTGTGTCAGGAGCACAGAGTGGAGCACAGGACGAAGCACATTGCTCTTCGCTACTTTCTTGCTCGAGAGCTGCAGCAGCGAGGTCAGCTTCGGCTTGTGTACGTGGACTCGAAGGCCAACACTGCTGATATCTTCACCAAGGCGCTCCCGCCTAGTGATCATCAGCGGCACTGTACTTCTTTAGGCCTTGTGTCCACGTTTCCTCACTTGCTCACTGCTTGACATTCTTTGTACTGTACTTTATATATATCTTGTTGCTTGCTTGCTAGGTTTTGATCACTGTGTTGCTTGTCTTGTACTATATCTAGCACTGCATGTGAACTGGCCTTGTGGCCTTTGCTTGTGCTCGGAGTGTGGTGACGTTGTGATCCACCCTGGGCTTGTGTTGCTTTGCTGGACT